TATAGCTCGCATAGCATAATAAAATTCATTTTCTAAATAAATTTTATCGATTACTTTCCATATGAAAATATAGGTTTTGCGCAATATAAATAAACATTTTAATAAAATTATCATTAATCATTACTCAAGCTATAAAAAAGCAATATTAAATTTTACATGAATATTTATCTAAACATAAGCTACATCACTATAAATCTAATAGATATATTTTTCTGTACTAAATAAATTAAATAAAATTAAATAAACTATTATTATAAACCTCAATTCACTAGTCAAATTGGCGGTTTATAAACCAAATCAATCCTCCAATTCATCAATATTTTAATCTTGGCCTTTCCATTTTACTGTTATTATTAGAATCAAACATTTATTAATTAATTAAATGTGATAAAAAAAGTAATAATGAATAGGAATTTTCAATTAATTAGTGATGAATGAAAAATTAATTCACCTTTGTTTAAGAGAGAGAGTTAAAATCAAGACCATTTAATGAACTCTCATTGCTTGTGTAAAATTTTAAGCCTTTTGATTTAGCAATTTCATCATCTAATATTCTACTTGTATAATATGCACCTGGATGTGGTCTATATAATTGTTGTGAACTACTACTACTAGTATTACTATTATTATTATCATTATTATTAAGAATTGCTTCATGTTTATTTACAGCAAATGGCCAAAGCTCATTAATAGTTGGTCTTTTTGATGGATCCACATCCCAACATTTCTGCATCATTTGTGCATAATCATCAGGCATTTCAGGTAATATTGGTGGTCGTAAACCTTCACATATACCAAGAATTAAATGATGATTATGAGCTTTATCATCAAATGGTGGATGGCCTGCAAATATTTCCCACATTAACATCCCAATACTGTAAATATCTGTTTCTTTTGTGTTCTTTGTATTATTTGTGCCTCTAAGTAGCTCAGGTGCAATATATGATATAACCCCATATGTTTTATTTGATAACTTTTCATCAACTGGTCCACATAATCCCAAATCTGTAATAAAACAAGCACCTCCTTGCAATAATATATTACCACTATGTAAATCACAATGGATTAAATCTTTTTTATGTATAAAATATAATGCAACACTTAACCATCTAAAAATTGCAATTCTATCTTTTAATGTCAAATTAGAATGATTTTTTAGTAAATAACCCCTTAAATTTCCTTCTGGGTGGTAATTTAAAACTATTGCAAAATTGCCATCATCTGGGAATTTAGTTATACCATAGCAAGTAACAATCATACTTGATTTAATTTTACAATAATTCATTGCCTGTAATTAAATAAAAAATCAATTAGTATTACATTATTCATTTTTGTTTTAAATAAAAACTACCAACCTCGTCAAAAAATGCTTTTCCTGAATTACTTGAATTATTTAAATTTTTTAATACTACATAATGAGCACCTGTATAACTAAATTTTTTTTCCTTTTCATCATAATCAATTATATTTCCTCTTGTCCATGTAGCTTTATAAATTGAACTAAACCCACCTTCAGTTAATTTTGTTATGTCTTCAAATTGCTCAAAAGGTATCCATTCTAAAATATAGCCTGGCAAAGATGATTTCATTTGGCA